GTAGCGGAGGGTGTATTAAGGTGTTAGTCTAATATACCCCCCAAAAAATTCCAAAATGTGTTTTTATGCCCTTCCAGTTTCTACAGAATAGCGAAAACAGCGAAATTTAGTATTATTACGTAGATTTTACATTATAAGTTACCTGGTTGGCGTTCCACAGAAAGGGTATTAGAATGGCGCCCTCAATTACCTATTCTTCTATCAAATAATTAATTGGGTTGGCAGATTTTAGAAATGCTGTTAACCATTGTAAAGTCTGAGAGGCTGCAGCTGAAGGGTATTAATAATTAACAGAAGTGTGAGACGTTGATTTTGTTATAAATTCAAATACTGGTCATTGTAATTGTATCATGAGCCTTGAGTAAGATAGGACCTAAGTGAAGTATGTAGGACTAATAAACTAAGAGTCCGACTAACTACACTTTGCGGACGTGTTTTTTTTTTCTGAGCTCCGTGATCGTCTAAATTAAGCTAGCTTTTTGAAGGAAATTTAGAATTATACTGATGATTCTACATTATTTGCTTCTGGAAGCTCAATTTCTGTTATTTAAAATTCTATGTGGATTTTTTAATGACCGGATATGTCGTTTAATTCTTCATTGTGCCTTCATAGTTTTTTTTTTTTTGAAGCATTTGATTGTATAGATAGGACGATTATGTTTAAAAAGTTACATGATATCAATATGCATAACAATTAACAAGCTTTTGAAATACATATACACAAATACAGTACAAACATTTTTATTAAAACAAATAATTGTTTAACAAATTATATTAAATGCACCAAAGGATTGAAACAAGGTTGTCTTTTACCACCGATTCTTTTTATTCTCTTTCTAAATGACTTTGCTGAAGGAAGATTTACATTTCTGTTCCATAAATAACCAAACTATTTCACATGACTACAAAAACATTTTAAACTGTTTACAAAAATATTGCATAAAAAATAAACTGGAAATAAATAAACTAAAAACAAAGATAATGGTATTTAGAAAGGATAGGGTTTTATAAAAAGACAAAAAATGGATGATCGACAGAATTTAAATTGAAATGGTTAATGAATACCAGGGAACAGTGTAATTTCACTGTTCCTTTGGAATACAAATATCTGGGATTTCATTTCAATAATAGGGGTACATGGAAAACGTTGGGTGAACGTCAAGGAGAGAAAGGGGAAATGGCTAGGCCTATGTTTAACGTTAGAAGGAAAATTTTCAGTTTGGGATTTACATCTGCAAAGATACAACATAAACTTTACGACAGTCAAATTAGGCCAATTCTATTATGGTAGTGAATATGAGGATATAACAATAATGGATAGCATAGAGAATATCCAAATGAAACATTGTCAATTTGTTCTAAATGTTCACCAGTCATGCCCAAAAGAAGGTGCTAGATATGAGCTAGGAATGTTCACCACTAAAGATTATCAGTTAATAACAATGCTAATTTATTGGATAAAAATTAATAATATGGAGGATAGATTAACCAAAATGTGCTATCAAAAACAAAAAGCGTGGGCTGAAAATAATATTGACTGTTGGGCACTTGGGATTAAGAAAATTCTAGAAAATTTAGGATTAAGATACATCTGAAACTCTCCTGTAAATTTTTCAAATATTTTCTCAAAGAATATACGATATTGCTATACAAGAGCATTTATTTAAAAAAGACGTCAGAATACAATTTTATAATACAATTAACTTAGAAAACATCTCAAATAAATACATTTTTTAAATTCAAATATTAAGTATAGAACATTAATTTCACGATTACTTTTGTCAAATAATAATTTGTTTATAGAAAGATGTCGTAATTTAAACATTAGTAGAGAAAACAGAATTTGTTTAATTTGTGATAACTTTAACTTAGAAGATAAATACTATTTTCTTTTTGTATACCCCTTTTACAAGTAACTAAGAAGAGAATTTATACCAAATTTAAATTTATATTTAAATTGGCATATTTGCATTCAGATTCTGAATTGATACCAGAGGCCTAGGCCAATAAGGTAGGCCAAGCGCTAGGTGCACAAAGAATATTAGGTGGCGCATTTGGAATATTTTAAAACGGGTTCCGGCCCGTTGCCACCCTGTCCTGTTGCCACCAGGCCTTTTTCCCCCGGGCTACTGCCCCCCCGGCCTTTTGCCACCGGCCGGCCTATTGCCACCCGGCCTTTTGCCACCCTAGGCCCGTTGCCACCAGGTCTTTTACCACCCGGCCTTTTGACACCCTAGGCCCTTTGACACCCGGGCCTGTTGCCACCTTTGCGTAAATAGCGAATTTTAAATTATGCTGGGTTGTTTCTTACACAGATATGTAATTGTGGATGCATATACTTTTTGCTGCAAAGCAGCCAATTCATATTCTTGACAGCAATTTGACCTCTGAAAGGTCATTGTTTGTCAAAAAACAAGGGCCTAAGACGACTGAAAAGCGAGTTTCCTTCTTTCTTTCTGCCGGGTAAAATCAATTACATAGGCGACGTTTGTAGACTAACCAACACGTACCAACGTCCGCATGTCGCGCTAGCCTTATCCTACTCTAGGCATCTAGACTAGCAGGATGGTATAGGCCTAGCCTTGAAGGGACGAAGGTCCCAATGAAAAACAACGTCGCTCCTCGATAGCTAACATTGTCTATTTAACATCAGAATAATTCATTATTAGACCTATAGTTGTTTTTTGAATTGTACTCCAAAAATCTCAGCCGATACCTCGCACGACTCGAGTAACGTCTCGTATCTATTGTCGTGACGTCATGGCTCGCTGGCTCACACTTGCGATGTCTCGCACTTGTGATCAAATAACACGCTGGCTCACACTTTGGCAACACTCTCTGGCAGTCAACTCGCCCCTAGAAAACCCGCCCTTGGAAACTTGCCCCATAAAAAATGTACACTTCCTAGACCATGCAGTCTTCAAAATAAAAATTGTAACCTTTGGTAATCAACTACGGTACATTTTCCACATACATAGACATTTTTGAAACTTTATTTAAAAAAAACCTAAACCATAATTATTCACCACTATAGACACTTTTTGACAAAAATGAAAAATTTCGACTTTGTTACCCAATGAGAGGTGTTCTAATATAGACAATGGGTCATTATTTTCACTTGACTCGCATAAATAATTTTGTTCGAAGAACATTTATATGCAGTTGTACTTCGCAGCACTTCACTTGCAAATTGC